CTTATTTTGATGTTTTGAGATCTTTTGTGTTTAGAACAATATATACTAATTTTTAAAGTATCAAATTGAATTTTTGTTCAATAAAAATCTTTCAAATGCGACTGTAGTCTTTTTTACCCCCCAAAACTTTGTTTTCAAAATAAGGGTGCGTCTTATATTCCGAAAAATTCAGTAGTTAAAAATTAATAACTGTTTTATTGTTATAGCTTACACTATTATATTGTTTATTATCGTTTTCACAAGAACAACATACAAACAATTAAAAATAAAATAATTACAGTCGATTGGGTGAAGAAAAACAAGTTTTTGAACACTCCGGGTTGTCTTTCAGGTCCCAAATTCTTTGATGCTTAAAAAGATATTAAACCCAAATTCCTGCCACGAATTGTGATTTGAGTGATTCGCAATTATAGTAATATACTATTGTACGAACATTACCTAAAAGTTTTAAGCAAATCAAACTTTCAAAATTAGGTTTTGGAATATCAGAGGATGGATACAGCTCTGATATGTCCAGATAATTTCGAGGCTGAGCATAAAATATTCCTTTTAGATCCAACCACATTGAAAAAAAATAAAAATTCAGTCCGGCCCATTGGGAGTTACAGCCTGCACCTTCGTACAAATCCGCCCTCCGTGAGTCAGTGGTAGGTTTCCGGACTTACAACATCAGAACCTAAGTTCCATTCCCCCTCCGTGAACAGAAAGCGGATAACCCATTGTGTCGCTTTACGCTAACTAAACAATAACGATATTGTACAAATTAAAAGTCCAGTCTCTAATTTTTGATAATAATCGTCTTTTTTTTTAAATTAGTACACAGATATTGTCTATAAGGGCATGTTTAATTGTATATAATTTCTACAGACAAAGAAAGATTCGTTAACGTATCTAATTATGATGATGGTAGCAAGTAAGCTTCTGTGAAGCACGCAGTGGGGTTTCTAGGATTTTTTATTGGGGGAGCAGAAGGAGGTCAAGTGTTAATACAAAAGAAGCAGGCTTTTTTTTTTTGCCTTTACGAAGTGTCTATTTATTGTTTTTAATTATCAAAAAAGCAAAAATTACCTCAGGGACCCTTTGCACAATTTCACAGCAGTCCGATGCTGTTTCAAACTACCATTAAATTTACCCTCTAGGTTCCACCTGATTGGCGATACTTCTTTCGGTTCAAGATACACACTATGAATATCCCACCCGTCCAAAAAAGATTAATACTTTCACGTTAGTGGAAGTCATAATGTAGGGATAATTTTTAAAACGAGAGAGTAAATCCTGATATTTTAGATAGGGTGGCTGCCACCCAGGTGGACACGCACCTGCATACACGTGTTACAATAGTTTTTTGTTGATGTTTTTTTTTAATATGGTACGTTAAACATCTATATCGTCTGAGCTTATGACGTTAAAAATCAGGTTTCGATACTCGTGGTGGGCAGAGCACAAATAGCTCATTGTATAGCTTTGTGCTTAACAACAAAGTCATAAAATTAAAGATTGGTTTTAGTATCGCAAAGGATGTTGGTTTTGGAGAGATTAATAAATATCATATTCGTATGTAGTGCCGAACAATTATACTCCTATAGCGTGTTGCGGTTCAATGTATTTAATTGTAAATTGATCTATTACACAGAGAACAAAAACATCGATGGGATAATGTTTTGTTAATCAAAAACTGTTAGAGAACAAAGACTTCGTAGTATCGGAACAGAAAACACTAACACGTTAAACTATATCCAAAGTTATCAAAGGTACTATCTTCAATGGATTAGACTCTCATCAGGAGCATTGCTAAGAAATGAAAGGAAAAAAAAGAGAAAGAAAGATATATATTTCTAAGTTTTATGTAAATACTTTCATGCAAGGCGCTATGAATTAAAAAAAAGTCGCTTACGTCAATTATTTCTTGTAAATTGTTCACATAAGTCCTCTCAGTGTCCACTATTTCCATGATGACACGGTCAGTTGGACAAAGACTGGGATCATAGGTTATGTGACGACAAGGAACCACGCCTTTCTGGTTGACTCTATTTCCCACATCTACTACTCCATGTTTGATACCTTTCAGGCCAGTTGTTTTCTGCTCACTAATTCGGGTGTGATGAGAGAGACGATCACAGGAAAGAACGTTGTCTTCATCTGGACCGTTATCTGCTAAACTTTCATTACTTGCCATGTAAGACCTCTTAACATCCATTCCATTTCGAGGAAATGAAGAAGACGAAGAAGATGAAGAGGAAGACACTGAACTCGTGCTAACAGGGCGCTTTGTAGAAGTGTCATTCACCGACAAGTTCTTCGGAGAAAGTAGCCGGCTTCTAGTTCTACTGTCTGCCAAATTATTTGGACTGTGAACACTAGAGGAAAGTGGCTGGTAACCATCTGTGTTGACGTTCTTGGAAACATTTTCTTCATTCTCGTCTCCTACATGTTCATCCTTGCTCTTCCCCACCAGGCAATCGTACACTTTTAGTAAGGAAGAACTTATATCCACTGTGGACCCTACAGGATGAAGAAAAAAAACTTAATTACTTAAGGTATTATTTATATACGTTATAATTTCACGAACACATTTTCAGTTTTAGTGGACACTCCGTTCTAATTGGATCTTAATATGTCGTCGAATCAAATGTCTAACAATATGCGTATATTTTAATTTTACGAAAAATTAACTATTTTGCAAAAAAAAAGAGTCATACATAAGGATTATTTTCACAACTAGTTTTATAATGATCGTCAAGTTAAAGCTCACCTCCGTATATAAATACATTACTTACATACACAAGTGTTTTTGTTTTTTTATACAGCTTTTATCAAAGGCACAATGATTAAAAACATCGTTTTGGTAATATTCCGCCAGGAAGAAATTGAGAAATAGCCACTGCAGTCAACCCTTACCACAAAGAAATATTAAAAGATTCTCCAAAAGGAAGTCTCTTGACCTAGTGTATAAAACTTGTAAACACGATTTCGTTCAAATACGGTGAATTAATCTCATCTGGGTAAGAGTCTTATATAATTAGTTACTGAAAATATGTCTTAAAACAAAACCAATCATTTCCCAGAGGCTTTTAATCATTCAGTTATTGCTTATCTAGTTAAATAACTTGCTGTCTCGTTATTATATCGATGTTTATTTAATTTTCATCTTCCGAAAGAAACATTACAAATTAAGATACAGTAATCGATATTTGTATTATCTTAACGTGTTCTATCGCTGGTAAAAATAATGTCAAGTCCAACCCACGTCATGACAAAGAATTAGTTGATTTATTCTATAACGTTTGCTCCAGTATACATTTACTGTAGGCACAACTTCACAAACAACGTTGCAAAGGAGTTCTAGACAAATGGTACCTAGGCCTAACTTACAAATAACTTACTTGCACAGTTTCCTTGCTAATCGATTGATTACCTGAATAGACTAAAACTCACTGATTAGTCATTAACTAACTATTCATCATCGATTACTCATTTATTTCGTACTCTTGTTTCTTGAACCTTCTCAGTTGTTACATCATAATCAACTTTCTAGATATTGCATTATGGTCATGATTACCAACTCCATCTAGCAAACATCTAAATTAAAATATCAGAAGTACAGCTTACAACAGTTGTTATAAGGAAATTTTACAATACAACGTCAGCGAAATAATGTATCTTCCCGGTAGCTCCATGGTAAGCTTAAGGGCTTATATATTACCAACATTTATAGCGACAGTAGAATGTGATTAGTCATAAAATTCAATTTAAAATGATATGTAAATGTTTAGAATTTCTAATGAAGCTGCTTGCTAATCGATTAAGTACAGCCTATGGCAAGGTCTATTTGTATTCACTTGAATTACAAAATTCAGTTAGTTGCTTTTTTATTTTATTGGTAAGTTACACATTGTACAAGTAATTTATACTAACTGTTGAATAGTATTTATTTATAAACGATCCATGCACAAATTTAGCTGCGAAATCACAAAGGCTCGCACAATCATATCTTTGTTATATAAAATATAATAACATCATTCATGTCTGGCACTATCTGTACTTTATCATTTTTGGAGACACTGTGGTCACACTCTCAGGTACAGACAATCAGACACAAGGACGAACACAGTAGCTCTTTGACATCATTAAGTCGAAAGTAATAATAATTCTACAAACGCCAATTTTCACCAACAGAAATTTCTTTTGGCACACGGTAATTTTAGCATGCGAAAGTCTTACCTAAATTACAATTCGTAAAAGTGACGATGGGTCATTGCTTTGACTTGTTAGTTCTAACCTAAGTAGCGATGGGTCATTGCTTTGACTTGTTAGTTCTAACCTAAGTAGCGATGGGT